GGAAAAGTCGGCTAAACTCATATCATTGTGTGAAAATTCTACTACCAGTCCTTCATCACCTTACACGAAACAGGGTGAATACATCTCATTAAACTCATATCATTGTGGGAAAATTCTACTACCAGTCCTTCATCACCTTACACGAAATAGGGTGAATAAAACTCATATCATTGTGGGAAAATTCTACTACCAGTCCTTCATCACCTTACACGAAATAGGGTGAATACATACTCATATGATTGTGGGAAAATTCTACTACCAGTCCTTCATCACCTTACACGAAATAGGGTGAATACATCCTCGTTACTTTTGCTGTCCTAATTACTTTGAGTCAGCACTGCTGGTTTTGTGCATAAGCGAACACAACCAGGCGCATACACATACAGAGATAGACACACTCACAGGATTCGCGGTTGACATATGACCGTAACTAACCACATCACTTTATACCTGATGAAAGAGGCCAGATATAGACTATATATACCGCTTTTTAGGGATTTGCCGGTGAGTTTTATTGACTCATTAGCTTGATATTCGTATGCGAGTAGGGTTTCGAGACTACCAGTAAATCAGTAAATCTCATTAGCTTGAATTTTGTTGTGACGATGATACCTTGCTCTGATGATGTTCGTCATACGACGGACAAAAGCTTAGCACCTTTTCACCGGAATCGAAGGAGATTACCTCGGAAACAGCCTCAGCATGAATCTTACAGTAAAGCCAATCGACAACTGGTCAAGAGGGATCCGCCGTCGTCTTCTGGTGGAATAGACCTTGGAATCTCTTCACCAAACACTTTTACTCGAAACGGAAGTAAGCTCAAAAACTAGGGCTGCAGTTAGCCATCTTTTCTTTTGGCTTAGGATAATTTTGCTCTATTTCCTCAAGTATAGAATCTTTCTCTGATGATGTCTGTCACTGTACAGACGAAAGCTTTGCACAGTTTCATCGGCGATGCAGGACGGTGAGCCGAAGACTTCTTCGCACAATTCAACAGTCTTCCTTACGCGACAATCCTCCGTCGGTTTCCGGTCAGATCACATCACAGATTCCTTCCAACCAACTTTCCCTTTGAAATGGAGAGTCATGCCATAGCGATGGCGCCTCTCAATGACGATACTGACTATGATACTGGCGAAACGTTTCTGAATGTATTAAGTCAATGTTCCGATGCTGGAAATCACGAAAACTATGGTCGAGGACACAGGACTGGATGCGTTTCACAAGGTCTCCCTGAAGCACTAACCAAGCTGCGAAAACTAGGTCTAGCTAACAATGTGGCAATTCGTGTTTTTGATCAACATCCTTAAATCATTAAGTGTTAAAAGTTAGGCAGCCATTTAATCATTGGATTGATCAAACTGGATTTTCATAGTACATATTCCACCTTCAAGGGATAGTTGCGTGAGCAAACACGGGGCTTTGTTATGGGATCTTATTTAGCCCATATTTTAGCTAATTACTACATCACCCAATTATAAATTTGTGTGCTTCAAGAGGCACTTCTGGCTACAGATTTATTAGCCAAATATTTAGACGAGTATTTTGCTTTTTGGCAACATTGCAAATAAAGAAAGGGGTAATTCCTTGAATTGATAAATAGATTAAATGGGAATACTAAATTTACTATGGAGTGAAAATAAGAGAACAAATTGCCCCTTCTGATTGCATTAGTGAGCAAAGAAGGTAAGAGGTTATGTGGAGACGTGTATGGAGACAAGCACACGCGGCTTTCTTTAGTAATTTCTTAACTAATCATGCATATAGGGTTGGGGTGGGATTTATGAAACCAAAGATAATAGGGAGTCTGTGTTTAGCAGACATAACTCACAGATTAGGGAGACTTTAAGTTTATATGATAGGGCGTGAAGAAGAGATTTGAAGGTCGATCTCACCAGAAGACGGCACCTGTTTTCCATTGTACTGCAGCCGTTTGGCTTTAATACGATATTCAGGATGACGCAATCGACGAGATATTAAAATGAGGTAAAGCAAACTCTATACAGTTAAAGGAGGATACAACCAAAATGTAGGCCACAATAGCTTAATTATTTTATCTACAAAAAAGTGGGAGCTTCAGCAATTTCTCTTTATCTCTTTCACTTTTGGCCACTTCTTATATTTGTTAAAGTTAGGTACAAATCTAGTTAAGTTTCACATCTGCATTAACAAATAAAATGATCACGAATTCAGCCGTCGATGCACTCTTGCAAATAGTCTTACATCTAATAGAAGTGGGTTGACCTCGTTGTCGCAACTTGGTCTTGTTGTGAGGGGGACTATGTAGAACGCACCTAGTCCGAAGTCGTCTGCCATAGTAGTTGTCATGATTCCCAGCATCT